ATTTGGTATTGAATCAACTAATAATCCTCCTAATTCATATTTTTATTAAATTCTAATCACTTGTTTGCTTGATATTGTGATGATATTGTAAGGAGAAATTCTCTCTTGATCACTCATGGGAGTTAAATGGTTAACAGGTACAATTAGCCAATGATAAATTCAAAATGGTTTGAAACAAATTTTATTAGTATCCTCTACTCTGTTTAACTTAACAAAACATCAGAAAATAGAATGACTTGCATAGTACTGATCTTCACAACATTGCCCCAAATTCAATTTTAACCATCAAAAATTAAAAACATGAGCTACATGTACCACTGAACAGTGAAGAGCAAAGTGTATATGGCAAGATTTCAACAACATGAATAAAGATGAAAATAATTTTTGAGGCATGTTCAATTTCATAATGAAAAATCTGGCACAAAATGCAGTCCAAGATACTCATCAGTTTGGTTGGCTACCTACCCTGTGGAACAAATGAGCTGGTGAACAGACAGCCCCTTCCAGATCTTAACCCTTTAACTCCCAAGACTCAGACTAGCATCTTAATTCCTCCTTACAATATAACCCCTGAATCACACATTAAGGTCTTGAGAATGAAACAAAGTCTCCTTGTTAGCACCTTTGGAAATTTATAGAGAACCTTAAAGAGAAAATGCATGATGATGACGGGGTGTAAAGGGTTAACAATGTTTAATATACTCTTAGGTACAGAAGTTCAAGTTTCTGTGTTATGAATTGAGAACATTGTAGCTGAAGATTGATTGGTTACAACCAGATTTTAAATGCTAGTCACTGTAGCAGAGAAAAACATAGGCATACTATGCATGCAAGAGTTATTTTTTGGGGGGTGGATGGATTGCTTGAAACATTGTAAGTGATGCCTTCATTATTTCAAAAGGAAAGAAGAGTATCAACGCGGAAAAGAATGAAAATGTCGAATTAATTCACACATAGGTATTTTGTCGTAGATTATGTGTGTGTTGTGCGAATAACTGTAACCAAGATAAACTGTACTGGTGCCACGGATACCTTTTAGTACAAAATGCAGACTGCAGACCGGATACAAAATGTAGACAGCAGACTGCAGAGTGGGTACAAAATGCAGACTGAGAATCTAAAGAGTTTTTTCGTTTGGTATGTGATAACATGTCATCCTACAACTTACCGAGCGTCACGCAATCGCTTTTCCGCGATCAGCTTTCACGATTATTTGCACTTTTGTGGAATATTCCTGGCCCATTTCTTTACGAAAATCGATCGAAATGTAATATCAAGCCTTCATATAGTCTTCTTACTTAGCGCGCGAGTTGGTTTGTGTGATGTCCGTGCAGAATTTACCAACGTAATAAAAGCAGATGTAGATGTAAATGTGATGTCACCATTGAATATTTAACACACACAACAGTCGAGAAACAATCACAGCTCTGCACGCGGTCAGCGTTATCATCTTTTAAAGCGGTATGTGTTTATTTTGTTGACAAAAATGAGGACCGGGACCAAAACTGTTCCTTCAACTTGATAAATTTTCGACGCTCGTAGATATTAACTTACCTCCTTAAATCATTCATTCCAGATAACAAAATCAAATAAACA